CATCATGGTCACCAGTGCTGGCAAAGTCAAGATAGGCGACTTGGGTCTTGCTCGCTTGTTCTACAAGCCGCTGCAATCTCTCTTCTCAGGCGACAAGGTCGTCGTGACAATATGGTATCGCGCACCTGAGCTCCTTCTCGGTAGTCGTCACTATACTCCTGCAGTCGATCTGTGGGCGGTAGGGTGCATCTTTGCCGAACTGCTATCCCTACGGCCGATCTTCAAAGGAGAAGAGGCAAAGATGGATAGCAAGAAGACGGTCCCGTTCCAGCGCAACCAGATGCAGAAGATAGTCGAGATCATGGGCATGCCAAGCAAAGACCGGTGGCCGCTACTGACGGCCATGCCCGAACATCCTCAGCTCTCGTCCCTGGCCTCAGGCAACGCTGCACGATTTCCGCGTCCTCAAGGTGGCGATGGCTTAGAACGATGGTATCACCAGACCCTCAACAACAACCAGTATCCAATAGGCTCTGGACCAGATACACCTGGACCCGAAGGACTATCGCTGCTCAAACAGCTGCTTGAGTACGACCCCCAGAAACGACTCACAGCGGAGAAAGCGCTGTCACATCCCTACTTCACCGTTCACGGCAAACCAGCCGACAGCTGCTTCGAGGACTCGAAGATCAAGTACCCCGTCAGGAGGGTCAGCCAGGAGGACAACGATATCCGCACGTCTAGTCTACCAGGTACTAAGAGGAGTGGCCTTCCGGACGACTCAATCATTGGACGTCCCGCCAAACGTCTCAAGGAAGGATGAAGAGACTCGACACCACACTGTTGTGCTGCGCTGTGATCTGTACGGGCGATGCGATGCAGCTTCCCGTGTGTACGTACTGCCACAGTCGTTGCGGCAAATTTATCCCTGGTTGTCGGCATGGTGTTACCTGACCGGACCGATGAACAGCGGCCTTGGCGGCGCAGACGGCTCTGTGCGAGTCACCATCTTACACAAGCGTCTTGGTGAGGATCTTGGGACGCTCTCGGCCCTAATGTTGGTGTGACACGAACACGGCGGGAATCTGATGCTGTACCAGCATTAGTCGATGAAGTGGTCCACGACGACGCAGGGGCAACGCGTTCGATGAGCAGGTGCGAGTACACTGTCCTGCTGTATCGGTTTAGTGGGATCCAGGTTGCGCGAAACCCTGATAATGGGCTTTGAAATGAATGGCACGTCTTGTCTGTACTTGGGAACTGCGTTTCCGTTCGTACTGGGAGCAGAACAGTGTACAAAAAGGACCCTCGGGCGTTTTGGCACCCACGCTGCGTCATCGCGACGGCGTTGGACTTGAGACATTCGAGTCAGCCTCTCTTTACCTAACGCATACACAACGAGGGAAAGACGTCCTGTCAACGGCAGCCACCAAGTACAAGTGCGACGTTTCCCGGGACCAAAGTGTCTTTGACACCACCTGGGCCGAGTTGGACGACCGAGGCGATGCTATCGCCATGTCTCAACGGTGGTGCTAGGCTAGATCATCATTCATGCATTCATACCACATATTGGTCTCCTTGTTACTTCTTCTACCAATCGCAGCCTGCCATAGAGGGACTATGCTGACTCACCATGCGCATACTCATCTGGTCCAGCTGTAGTCACTCGTCGCGAACGCCACCCTGCGTGCTTGTGTTGCCGTTCTCCTTCACATGTCTATTTTGTGCGTTGATCTAACGATGTATGGAATTACAGCTAGCGTAGTGGGCTCCACGAGGTCACGGTAGAGGGGTAGTGGTGTGTGAACGGCGCGCACGCATCCAGTTCGTGGTCAGCGTTTGGTGATACCTTCAAGTAAGTTCGCAACAGGGTAGTGGCAACGCAGTGAAGAGACTAATCGAGTAGCAGGCCTGTACCGCCACTTGGCGTCTACGAAGCGCAACGGACTTGTCCTACCTCTCGTCTACCCCGGCTGAGATTACACGAACGACCGCTGCAGCAGGTCTGCTGCCTCTGCTCATCATTCACCGTCAACGGTGCTCAATGCCGGACTGCCCTCTCTTGAAGTAGGCACCCGGCTGGTTGGTGCGCCTTCCGCAATCGTCTGTTTGCGGCGCTAGTACGTGAAGCCAGGCGCAACCATCAACAACACGCCATGGTGGACGTCAGCCCACGTCTTTGACCATATAAACCCCAGCGACCTCGTTTCCTTCTTACTTCGTCACTCGTTCAACCTATTTTCGCTCCTTAGATTGCCTTTCATTTATTCGCCTCGGACCAGTGCCTGGCATCTCTGCTGCACTTGCTATCCTCTCACCTCTACCAACTGCACCTCTCCCTAGGCCATTCTCCTACATATCGACGACCACGTATCTCAGAACCTAGCCATGAAGTTCTTCGCCAAACTCCTAGCTCTTACGGCAGCCACTGCTTTCGCCGCCCCCAGGCATGAGATCAAGCACCGAGATCTCGTCGCCGATGACGCTCCACACCAGGACGACCCGAATTTCATTAGCGCCGTCATGCGAGCCCATTGGTACTGGCGCAAATTGCATTGTGCGCAGGACCTTATTTGGGACACTGAGCTTGCCGACGCCGCGCGGGCTGACATTGAAGAGTGTCCAAAGGACCCTGAACACGTACGTAGTTGGCACGATGACGGGCATGGCACAGCTGACATGAACAGAAACGCTCCGGCAGTAACCTCTCTTCCGTGAACCCACCTCCTGACGGTTACGACGCTTGGATCGAGTTTGCCCGCACTGCCACGCACGGCTGGCACGAAGAGGAGACCAAGTACCCCTACGACAACCCACACTTTGATGCAGCATGGGGTCACTTCACGCAGATGGTGTGGCGCAACAGCACACGTCTTGGCTGTGCTCTTGGACACTGCGACGACGGCGTTAATTGGCCGGGTCGCTTCTACTGCTGTAAGTTCAACGCGTCGTAGCCCTAGAGCAACAATTCTGACATTCACAGACTACTCGTTCTTTGGCAATAACATTGCGGCTGGGCAGTTCGAGGCTCAGGTTTGGGCGCCTGTATGCAGTGACCCCAGTGTTGGCGAAGTCCAGGCGCGCGAGGACGTCAACTTCGACTGGAAGCGAGTCTGAAACGCTCACGCTCCAACGTGACACTGCGCTTCGCGTGCCGCCTGCGTAACGATGTTCACGACAGCGTCTCCTTTCCTCACCAGCTTGTTTCGCGCTATACCCTGTCCACGGATCTCATTTCGCACATACTTTGTCTACTTGGAGATGTGCTGCCGCTTGTCTGGCATGCCTGGTCATATCATTGGTCTTGACTACACCTTTGGTGTTCTCTTCTCGATGACCGATTCAAGTGGTTGGCTATGCTAGCACATGTTGAGATACTGTTGGGCAATGCTATGGTGTAGCCTCTTGGTTCTGGTTAGACGAAATGCAAAGGGTTGGTTACAATTGACTTCTTGAGCTGCTTTCCCCCTTTCAAACGTTACTGTCTCAGCCACTGCGAAAGACGTCATGGGCTGATCATGAAGATTCTCCAACTTTCGCTACGTCAAAGAATGAAGGCCAGCAATCATGTTTGTTTGTTGAGGCGGCATTATAGGAACGTATTCCAAACATGAATCTATCCCAGACTTGTTCGACTTGGGACTTAAGCGCAAGCCATAATGCCCCCACACGACACGGCATTTACTTGGACCACAGTCCTCAGTACACGCGGTCTCTTAAGCACTGTTGCTGGCGTCCTATTTAGTAAACTTGCCAGTCCAGACTACGAACAGCTCGCCGACTCCATCAAAGCGAACGCCCTCCTTCTTTACCCTGACACATCAACTACCATCTGCACTTTCCGCACCAAGCCAACGTGGTTTAAGTGTAGTAAGAAGGACTTGTGGACTGCGACGTTGACCAGAAATGCGGATAAGTTGGTCTTGAAGAGGGTTCACGGGAGGAGCAGTAGGGAAGCCGCTTTGAAGGCGCTGGATAGCGAAGTGAGGAGAACGCTGGAAGATGATAGGGAGCAGATGGAGTTATAATGGGGCTACGTGCTTGGGGAAGAGTTTGAAGAGTGGATTGGGAGAAATGGAGCGATTCAGGAGATCCCGGGATGAATGTTATCTGAGGACACACCTCGTGACCTCACGAGAGATTAGGAGCATAGCAGAAGGCGAGACCAGAGTCTTTGCAAAACCAATACACAAGCGTCGTCTAAACCCTGAGAAGTAAACTGGAGCCCTAGATAAGGGCCGAAAGTCTTGGAGTATACTTGATACAAGAGTCAGTAAACCTGTTGGAAAACTAAAAAATCAAATAATTTCTAGTCAACGCCCAGCTATACAAGCCTCAAGTTTGGTGTCGAGAACGATAGTTCAGCCTCATGCACTGCACGGGGCCTCGCGATCGGTGCCTGCGGGCGGCAATTCCGCGGATCGCGAAGCACAATCGGTCCTACAAGACACGACAAACCCCCCCATGATCTCCATCTGACCCATAACCATCAGCAAGATCCTCTTTAATCCACTCTTCGCAACTCACTTTTCCATCCCTCGTTTCGAGAACAGCGTTTGCACAACATGGGCATTTTGATCAGCGACGGAAGTCGGTCATGAGCGGGCGATCCCTGCATAACGGCCATGCGCCAGTGGACGGATTGCATCATTGAACGCCACCATGGCCTCGAATCTTGCCTCGCACGCAGCGAGAGCCGCAACGCGCGACGGGCAAGCCACTCGGAGCCCCCACTAAAGGCGTGCTTTTGTCCGCCCTGCGATCAGAGATACAGGCAAGCACGGCGGGTGAGGGGCGTGGCGGATCCATCTCCGCGTGGGTTTAACACGAGCGACAGGCACGAGAGAGTCTAGCCCTCCTGCCTTCCCTGGCTGCACCTTCCTCGTGCGTCTCGCGCGTGCTTGCCAGAGTCTACACTTGTTTACCGGGTTTTAAGGTTGCGCCTTCTCCCTGTTTGCCGCCAATTTTCGACGAATTGACTGCAATCGATCGACATCACGACCCCGACTACTCAATCACCTCGACATACTACACTGCACTCACCCGCCTTGTAGCCCACGATGCTGGAGAGGCAGCAACATGCGCTGCGGGACGACGCCAGAGACGCCGCGCCGAGGTTGCCAGTCTCGCTCTCGGGAGAGATCAACGCTGCCACACGGTATGATCCTGGTGTTGTATCACCTTGGAGCCAGCCCACGATGCTAATAATACCTATCCAGTTCCCTCCACACAAACCTTAACCGCCTCATAACCTCGCGCCTGCCGCTTGCGCTCCCGCCTTACACGACAGACGCCACACTGTACGCAACCGGCCTGCTGCATTTCGCCCACATCTTCCTCACCTTCGAGTCACTGTGGGCGGATCTGCTGCGCGACCATGCCCCAGCCTCACATACCGCCTCCACACACCCCGCAGTCGATTCTGAGCCCGCTTCCCCGCCCTTCTCGCCACTGCTCTCGTATCTCCTCGTAAACCCGTACGACTCACCCTCGCTCTTCACGTCAACACTCGGTGCGCCAACACCGCCTTCCCCACAACTCGCTGCTTTTCTGAAAGCGCTGAGACCGAGGGGTTTGATACGGTCGAGTCGGTTGAAGAGGGATCTCGAGTATCTGCTAGGAGTACACCCCACAGACCTCGAAGTCCTGCTAGCAAAGTACCCCGGAGACAAGGTCGCCGATTTCTGCACACACATCCGCAAGAGCGTGAATGAGAAGCCTTGGACGCTAGTCAGCTATGCGTGGTGTTTCTACATGGCCGTCTTCTCCGGAGGCCGCTGGATACGAAGCATGCTCTTGAAAGCACCTCCAGGCTTCTGGCCAGAGCAAGACGGCGAAGCGCCGAGTCTAGAAGAGCGCGGCCTGTCATTCTGGCATTTCCTCGGACCCCACGACGGCGAAGACATCAAAGTAGATTTCAAAACCCAACTGCTCGCCGCGGAGACCCTCTTCACACCCGACGAGCGCGTCGACATCATCGAAGAAGCCAAGAACATCTTCCGCCTCTGCGCCACACTCGTTGACGAGTTGGATGAGTCGATAGGCACAGATATGACGCGCATGGAAGCGACACCCTCAGTTCACCCCGAACCCAAGATATCGAGTCCGACCCGAAAAGAGCCTCTCGTTGATGCCAATGTCGCTGTTATCGGACATGTGATGAAGACGGGTGACCCGTTCAAGACATTTCTCAGAAGGCCGGAGGTCACGGGGACGCTGGTTGCTATTGGCTGTCTGGCTGTGGTCACGTTGTTCAAGTTGCAGTGAGACAACAACACCATGCGCCCGGTGTCACGACTGGCTTTATTTTCGTCCTTCAGGACATACTCGGCGGGCACTTTTCTTATGGTTCACATGATTAGCGTTAATACTTGCATCTGGCATGATGCAGTTTTTGTTTGTGCACGAGCGACATGGCGGTATGGCAGTATGGCATCACGACTGCCTCGGCATCTGCGTCTGGTTTTCATGGGCTATGGCATCATTCGGAGTTTTACTCGTCTTCAGCGGGCTAGGATTAGCCTGCCATTTAGTGGAGTTCTTCTCACATAGGTTTTTACGGATATTTGTTTCAGGCTACGTGAGTAGTCGGTGCATGTATGGAGAAATGGCATGAGATACCCCCCTGGAGTAGTTTATAGATACACATGATCTTTGCTTCTTCGTATTGGTTGTGGTCTTGATGGTGTGTGAATGGCTTGATGTGAAGGGCAGGTGGTGCAACCAGTGACGGTAGAGAGCCAGCGTATCCTGGATGCGCAGATGTGGGAGTAAGGTCACGGTGTTTGTCTCGATGGGGTGTTTGCACATGATGGTGGCATTTGGCACATTGGGATGTGTTGCTAAGGAAAGACAGGTTTTATGCAATTTATGTAAGGGGATGTGGAGATACATGGATGATGTTGCTTATTGCTGTTTGGATGTGGTTGGAAGGAAATAAGGAGGATGCGTGAGCGTCGTTACATGTTTTTAGGCTTTTCTGAAGGAGACTGTCGTGTGCTTGCCTCCTTTTCTTTCTGGGTGTTTTTGGTGGGTTGTGGTATGCTTGAAAAGGAATGACCAAGGAAATGTTCTTCTCCAATCTTATACTGACGAGCTAGAGCGTACACGTCATATCATGCGTTCGGTCGGTGAGCGGGCACTTGCAGCGTAGGACCAAAAATCAGTAATCAAGGCATTCCGAATACTCGGGTCGAAAGAGCCATCCGTGCCATGGGCTTTGCGTAGATGGGTCCGGAGGTCCGCTGGCCGGAAGTAGCCTTTTCCATCGATGCGATCACAGCCAGGCTGTGGGCAGGAAAATTCGGATTCGTCGTGCACAGTACGCATGTGCTTGACCCATTCCTTTGACGAGGCGAAGACACCTGGGGCCGACAAACGTACCCCAGCAGGTTTTGACTCCGTACACCCTTCCTTTGGGCACCACTTGCGCTGGTATAAGCATCCGGCCTGTTCGCCTTCGCCGATATGATGATAGTTCCGAATGTGTTGAGTGAGATGATCTTTTCGTTTGAAGGCGCTCTTTCCTCGATACTTCTTGCAATACTTGCATGGGAAACGCTTAGCGTCCTCTTGATGGGTACGCTGATGCCTCTGATATGTGTCCAGTCGGGAGAACTTCTTCTCACAATCGTCATGCTTGCAGATGAACGAAGCATGGCCTGTGTTGGAAGCGTGTAGCCCTACCTCATACTGGCTTTTGCCAACAAACATGCAATCATCGCATGTGAGGACATCCCGATGAACAGCCCGCATGTGTTCCTTGTATTGCCGCTGTGAGTCGTAACGGAACACACAGGAAGATTTGTCGCATTTTCGACTCATGAGATTATATGACGACTGCTGTGGCGTGAAATGGGCAGACATAACATTGGCAGCCTCGGTTACTGGATCAGGGTATCTCACTCCAGTATCGACGAGACTACTTGAATAGCGTTAAAGCCGACTCTGTCTGTGGATTTGCATAATACTGACCTCGCATCGTGGCTTGTTTGAGGAGCGACCGTATCTATCTGGCTCCTAGTATAACAGCCCGTAGCATTGGAGTCGGAGACGCCGTGGCCCTCGAATTGTTGGGTGGACGTTTGGAAATTGGACCAGTCCAAATGAGATTCGCTCAACATGCGGTCACTGGAGAGCATGCCATCGTAGCAGTGATCCGGACTGAAGTGAAAAGCGTCGATCGATGAAGACCAAGGCAGTGAGAATGATTCGTGCAGTTGTGCACTTGCCAAGACGGCTGCAGAGTAATCCAATGCAGGTATATGGGAAATGTGCCTTGTTCCGCCCTTTTTGTTAGCAAAGTGTAAAAAAAAAACTCACCCAAAATCCGGGAAGTCGTCTTCGTCCATGATTGGCAAGGCAGACGTCGGCTGCAGCGTGCCTAACCGAAAGCGTCGAGGCGAAGCAAGCCACTTGGGTTGATGCGTTGGCGGTCGTAAAGCAGCGAAGGCTGAGGCGGTGGTGGTAGGCGAAGCGAAGAATTTTGGTGGGAGATGCAAGCAGGATCCATCGGTAATACATACTTGCAGCCAGCAAAGCCTCGCGCCGCTTTAAGCAGAACAGCGAAAAGGGCGAGGGTGACCAGGCTGCGTCTTGGCTGCATGCTCAGCTGAGTAGGAATGGTGTGATTGGATGTTGTGCGCGAAGGGGCCATGGCCCTTTTTTGGTGAGTAAAATCAGAGCTTGGTGTGCACTTGTGAATCGCCTGACTGCGTGCTGGTAGACAGGAGACGTTTGCTGGAAATGTATATTGTATTCGTCTATAGCTTGAGAATCAGGGTAGTGCTGGGAGGTATTCGCGGTTAATTTCATTGTCGAACGAGCGTGCGAAAGTCGACGTCGCCGTCGGAGATACACGTGTATGTATACTTCAGGGTGGAGCTAGTTCTTTACAAAATAACGAGCGGCGTACAGATACGATAGATCTAAAGATATGGTGAATGTGTCATCGTGTTCCGAAGAATAGATGTTGATGTTTTTGTCGAGATGTTGGACCCATAGCAGGCAGTCATGGTGACCCACTAGCCAGATCCGTACTCGTCCAACTCTCCATACCACTCTTCTTGACGCATTTGTTCAGTTTCAACGCCAAAAGGAAAGATCCGTTTGGCGATGGGAGTACTCGCGTCCTCGTCTGATTCGAGAAAAATCATGAACTTAGGATACGCCTCGAAGTTAGTTGCATTTCGCTTCTCTTCCCACGTAGTGAACGCCGTCCAATATAATTCCTCAAGATCCTCTCGTAAGTCCTTCACCCCGTCTTTCCAGCAAGAAAGTGCATCATCCGCGTTTTGCTCGAGCGTACGTAAGACTTGATCAACCCGGATCCCCTCAGCATCGCGAACTTTAGCAACCAATCTAAGAACTGGTGCGCGTTGGCAAGGTAGATAGATACCCAAAGCTTTGCAGGGCGGTTCTGTAAGAAACATAGAGCTGATTAACTCATCAAAAGCTCTCTGTGGCAGAGGTCTTTTGTAAACGCCCTGTTCGGAAGAACATGGACCTATTATGATTTCGCATCTGCCAAGATGTAGCCGCACCCGCTCTGGAAATAGCTCCAGAAAGTACGGATTGAAGTTGAACTGGCTCAGATCTAGCCAACATGGACTACCAAACTGTCGCAGCATCCCTGGAAGACTGTACCTGATGTGTTCATAACAATTTCGGATTTTGTCGTAATACAGCTGAGGTATGTTGCGCGCTTGGGAGATTCTGGCAGGAAAGTATGGGCTGGGGGCTGGAATAGACGCAGTAGTAGTAGCAGGGCCCTGAGGTGTCCCTTGCCGTAGTGACAAGATCGCGTGCTCGATGTCGATAATCTCCTGTTCAGTGGGCTGTAGCCAAGAAAGTTCCCTGTCGATGCGTTGCCCATGGTTCACCGGGGGGCAAGGATGATGGCTGTGGTATCGAGACGCGAGAATGTAGCGAGTTGTCTGACGCCAGGACACATCAACGTTCCAAGCTGCGTATTGTGAATCCGTGGTTGCATACAGAAGTATCATCTCCAGTAATTCAGGAATGTCGAATGCACGCCGCGCGGAGAAAGATAGATCGCCTGACTGGAGCTTACGAGCGGGACCAGACATAGGGGCGCGCATGGAAGGAGTATGGTTTGAATAAAGTTGCAAACGCGCATCGATTGTGTACAGCAGCGCTCGCCTCCATTCTTCCACTCCAAGCATCGCAGCTGGGTGCGGTTGCTCTGACCATCTCATTTGATGATTTACTCCGTTGTGATCGATTTTAAGGGCCAGGAGATACAGGCTGCCCAACTGAGGTTTGTTTGAGTGCAGTAAACTAAGATCCTGGTCCGGAAAGTGTTTCGCGATCAGTGAGTCGTACGGATGGTATTGCGCGCATTCTTGATCGGGGTAAGTGGAAGCCATGGCGATATGGCTTTGGCGGGGTGTTGCATCGAAGGCAGAGGGATGTGCCGAAATTTATGGGTAGACATGGCATCGAGCTCGATCACGGGAATCTGATGCCTGGAGTGGCGTTTTGGTACTGTTGGGTCTAGTGCTGCCAATGTAGGCAGGCGCAGATCACGTGATGCGGCCCGTGCCCCCGCTGCCTTGAGAAGTCGGAACACATAAATTCCACCATTCCCTGCAACTTCATAACTCTTCATTCAAAATTCACGAAGCCTATTCCGATCCCTAATTGCGGCAACATGACCACCCCAAGTATGTCTAACGAAAGCGTACAGCAGAGGTATGACAACGACGACGATGGACTGCATCCCGATGACGTTCTAATCACGAAATGGTTTCCAGAATGTACAACTCTGGAATTGTTGGACCGTCGCCCAGAAAGATGGGATATGCTCTCAGACGCCCGAGAAGCAGAGGCTGATATCAAGAACGGCACACATCGCGTCCCACCACAGGTACCCTGGCCAAAGCCGCCTCCCCGACCTCGATGCGAATTGGAGGTCGGTATTGAAGAATGGCGACGACCGCGGCTCCGCATGATGGACCGACTCATCGCCCAATGGAAAATAGCGAAGACTAATCATCCTCGTCATGATAGAACTCAAGCTGCTCCCTTTACACCGAAGCGTTCGCAGTCTGAACGACAAGGCATGAGCAAAGCTCATCACGCACTGCATGTCGCCGAGCTCTTGGAGATGGTCATTGGTCTATTGGATCCCAAATCGATGCTTACTCTTTGCGCAGTTTCAACCACGCTGCGAGCTGCCGTCGCGGTTGTTCTGGGATTACAGTACCGCAAAGCTTACCCGTGTGATCCCATCGAGTACAACGAAAAGATTCCACCGGACCTAGAATGAATTCAGCCGACGAAAGCGGAGATTACAGAGTTGGAGCTGGATATTCGCGAGCGTTCGGTTCCGGGCTACAGCTCAATGATACCATTCGTCCCCACAGCTCGAATCACCCAGGCTCAATGTCTCCCAATCGAGACTTGTGTTTCTGCTCGAGCTATGTGGAACTCTGACCGTCGACGAGTCCCTTGGATTCCTCCTCTACCACTTGATGCGTCAGACAATCGTTGGCTTGACCTTAGTCAGATCAAGATCAACCCATACCTGAGCCATTGTTTCGGCGATAGAGCCCAGGAAGTTGACGGGAGGCTTGAGATCAAGCTGTTGTCTGGCCCGGCTTATACAAGCCGGGCTCCATTTCTTACACTAGATTCTTTAAGTACTCTCGTCCGGCCAATGTACGCAACGCAACCTCCCTGCAAGAGTCTTGGGATATATGTCCCTATGTCAGTAGTGCAGTTTCGCAACAGGCATGTCCGCCATCTAGCGTTTGTCGAGGCAGAAGACGGGGTAACTATTGGCCAGCTTGTTGACGCAATAGAACAACAATCGCCCGCAGCCGTCGATTCTTGGATTGAGGACGTTACGGTGCACCGCGAAATGCTCGAAGACGAACATTGGATCGACTTTTCTCTCTCACAATCCGACGCACGAGATCAATGGGGCGACTTTTGCGAGGTCAGACCGAAGATAGTGGTGTTTTTCGACGGACCAAAGCCCGCATCGCACACGCTTTGTGTGGCAGAAGCCATATATAGTCGGAAGGATTGTATGGAGGAACAACTAGTCCGACGGAGTAAGGGCTGGTGTGACGCATTTGATCAGTGGGATGAGAAGGAACTTGAAAGTGAGCCTTGAGCAAGCTATGTTCAGACTTAGTAGCAACTTCCCAGGAGATCGAAGGCCGCCGTCAGCAGCTAAACCATATCTCGGGAAACGTAATTTCAGCCATATGGCCCCTTCTCTGGACCTACTCCATGCGCAGTTGCGCATTGCGAGATGGATAGATACAAGTGACGGAAATCGGTAGTTATCATATAGACAATTCAATGAATGCTACCAGCGAGGATAGAAACGAACGATTTACGTGCATGTGCCTAGCTTTGACTGCAATAACCTTCGGTACGAGAAACACGTTCGGCATCTTTACTCTACCTTACGTGACTAACAAGTAACATGAGACGAGTCTCAACCCTATGTAAACTTCTCGGGAAGGGCCCCTCAATACAGTACACAGTACCATAACGCCGACTGTACACCATTAACACCCTTTTTCTTTGCCACAATAAAAGCGCTGGCTGGGCTCAAAGACCCATATTGACATAGCGAAAAGAAACCGCAACTCTAGAAGAAAAGCACCCTCACACCGTCCCCTCTCTCAGCTCCCCCGACCCATGCTCCGGCGCAAAAGGATCAAAAGGAACAACAACCTCCTTCTTCCCAAACGCCTTCTTCAACCCCACCTTCATCCTCTCCCATCTCGTCATCTCCTTCTTCTTCACCTCCTCAAACGTCATATAACTCTTATCGATCTCCTTCAGCCGCGCCGCCTCCTCTTTCTCGAACTGATCGGCGCGCTCTCGAAGCCCAGTGATGACGTGTTGACGAAGACGGTAGTTGGCGAATACCATGTCGTGTTCTGGGTGCAGAACAAGGATCTCTGGGATTTTAGAGATCGTGAGACCGGAATCGGCGATGCGGTGGTAGAGGAACGATTCGAGATCTTCAGGGCACCATGAAGGTTGTGCTGGGATACCGACGAAAGTCGCGCGGGTAGCGCGGATGATACCGAAGTCTGTCACTTCACCCGCGTCGTACTGTTTGAGAAGGTCGCAGATGAGCTGACCGCGCTGTAGGAGACGCACCTCGCGGTGTGTCCAGTTGCGCTTGTATTCGGTTAGATGAGGAGGCAGAAGCCAGCCTTTCTGCGAAAGCTTGTGAGCGTCGTAGAAGTTCTTGAGCTTGTTCCAGGCGTTGGGAAAGAAGTAGCCTTTCCAGAACTTTTGGCTGTAGACTGCGGCTTCGACTAGGATGCGGAGGAAGTAGTATAGCTCGTGCTGGTTCTGACCGTTGGCTGGGCGAGATGAGAAGGATGCGGTACTTCGACTGGCTTGCTGGGGAATGTCGAACATAGCGGCTGCAGTAGGGTTGCGACGGTGAGTATGTTTGCTGTTGGCAGCTTCGACGTAGTGTATACCTTGGTCGAATTCTTCTTTGCTGACGGCGACAGTGGCGATGGACTTTGCCTGCGCTTTTGTAAGGATGCCCTCTTCCCCAAGGCCAGTCATGAAGATCTGGAAGTGCTCTGGTTTCAGTATGTGGCCGCGCTCCTCAGGGAAGAGCTGAGCGACAATCATCTCGTGGTCTTCGCTGTTCATGAGTCGGCGTTCGACAAGCTCGGCGTTGTTGACTACAGCATTGTAGCGTATGATCCAGTTACGCTCAACAGAACCTTTTGGCATCTGACTCGCGCGGATGTGTACGCCATTGACATCGAAGGTAGCGTCAGGTATCTCACCATCGACGTGGCGGGCCTCAAGATGAAAGTGGGCATTGATACGATCGATGATGTCGATGTTAGTGGGGCAGCCGTCTGCTGCGTAGAAAGCGAGATATCTGACAGCCTGGCGCCGTCTTGCGGCTTCGATCGCCTGATTTGCGGTTCTTAGATGGGTTTGGCGGTGGTTGAGTGCAGAAAGACTGTTCGGCAGACGAGCTATGCCATGATTGTCTCGGGGTCCCACATTCCTGCCAATGGTATCCAAAGGCTTTACGCGCTTACTTGTATTCGCCTGTGGTTTGATGGTAGCATGGCGCTGATTCAGCAGCTGTTCTGCTGCGCGCATGCCCTCTATGGCCGCCTTGAGTCTATCAGTACGAGCATCAGAACTGATGTTGGTATCGTCGACGGTGGCGGGGTGGGAGGCTGTCCGAAGTACAGGGCTATCATCGCTATACTTTTCGTTGTCGGATCTGAGACCGGTTTCCGCGGGCGTCTCGATGGTAGGCCTGGCATGGTTGATCGAGAACTTCGCAAGTGGTGTGATGTGTGTAAGATCGACATGACTTTCATTGGGGACTGATATCGCGGAATGCGCGTCGCCAAGTGGAGTCAACGGGCTAGTAGGTGGGGTACTTGAAGGGACTATACGGGATGATGGAGTAGCCTCGGTCTCGAATATTGTGTTATCTGTCGTCGAAAGTGGTGATGGAGTGGGAGATGCATGCTTCTCGGAGGTTAGTACATCTACTCTCAGATTGTACCCATAGTACTGACCTTTTTATTTTTGGGCGACTGGAATCGATAGAGTCTTTTGGGAGTGGATTTAGGTGTAACCGGCGCAGAAGGCATGGGAGAGACATGATCACGACGGTGATGATTGCCGAAGACCTTCTGAAAACCAGCGACAAGACGTGTAGAGTCCTTGCGCTTGTCGTTCGACTTTTGAGCGATGCTATTGCTGCTGATTCCAGCGCTGAGACCAGCGTCGTTGCTCGTACTGTTTTTGGGCTCTGATTTGGCGCGGTCGCCATCGTGGCTGCGGCGGAATGACTTCCCAGACAAGAAGCTTTTGAAACGGACCATGGTTAGTGTTTTCGAGATGTTGAACAGCTGACCTTTCAAGCGACCGTCGCTATGACGGGGAGGCTGGGCCTAGAGGGTGCGTTGCTGCTGTTAGTCGAGTAGTAGCTGCCACGGTCAGTGCGGGCAATTTTGTTAAGTTCAGCTTCAAAACTCCAGTTGTAAACAACGCCAAGCATGCGTGATTTCGGGTCCACGGCGCCGGGCAAATGCGGGGTGTCGTAGCGAAAGTGAAAGTGAAAGCGCAATAACTTGAGAACTCTGGTGCGCGTGGTCGAGTACTGGCGCGTTAGCGAAGTGAAAAGAGCACCACCAAACAGGCACTGGAGCATGGACTACTCAATTCGAGATGAGAATATGTCTGCTCGAATAAAAGTACTGATTCGTAAGGCTCGCCCGCGAATACTTTTCGCTGCCTATGGTTCTCGCGATATGTACCCTTCCCGACATTCGCCATCAGTTCAGTCCTTCGTCCAGGTAGAACATATCGCCCTACTAGCTGTTGATAAAGCTGAGGCATATATATTGGAACCAGGATATCCGAGCCGATGACCGTGACTAGATTCCACAGAAAAATTTCCTTATCATTATTCCTGACGAAGGACATAAACATGAAAACGAAGCTCTTTAGGACGGACTCGTAACAAATGATGAAACGCATGAGTTGACAGTATGAAAACAGACACAAAGTAGAAGAAGCAACTCGACATTGTGTTTTGCGCAATCCATGAGAAATTTGAGAGTTGCATGGCAGAGATGCTTGATGAACGCAAGAGGCGGATAAGGAAGTAATGAAATGAGGTTATAGTGAGCGTCAGAACCACGACTCAACATTGATACACAATAGCACCAGGGCTACTCTCAATTTTTATCAGCATCTTTGAGCTCCTGTCGCTAACAATCTTCTTGAAGGAGAGTACGAAGGCTATGTAGGCAGGAGAGGGGTGCATGAAGAAGCCGGCAACGTATCCACGACGGAAGAATGACTAGGACTCGCCGACAATGCAATGAACATGAATCTGCCCGAAACACGCGATGCACTGTTGTGGTAGTAGGAGTGTGATGTGCGAGAGCACGATGAAGCCTTCAGGGTAGACTGGTAGTGCAGGGTCCAGCGCGGAAGCCACGAACCCCGCCTGACGCTAGGTAATTGACCCCACGCGAATGGCTGGCCAAAAGTTCGTACCCCAAAGACAACGCCTGCGCAACATCGAGAGCAGCGCCATGGCTTTACTCGGGCTGCTGGACCAATTGCCAGCTGGTAAGTCACGAGACTCAGCATATACACCTGTAGCTAATCACACCGCAGAGGTACTCCTCATATGGCACGAGCATCGGCTCCCCATCCTACTGTCTGCACTAGTAGTAGCGACCATCGCGCGCCTTGTCATATACGCGCGCGACCGCGACCAGAGAGAGAAGC